ACAGACCAGACTCGCATCACAAAATTTCCCAACCGGTTCCAACTCTTTTCGCCATTTTCCTCGGTACAAGCAAGGTTTCCAAATCGAAGCATCAGCTACCACGGTATATACCGAAAACATACAGTAAGATAACACATCAAACGCACCCGATCACGATGGTAAAAGTTGACCAAATTACACGTTTCGAATATTCTACTATAATTGGATCATCCACTGACATAAAAACCATTTTTACCGGAAAGAGCATCTCGTTAGCTCTCCAACGCTTCAAACGGGGGTCAAAACGGACATACGGTTCAAGAGTTATGAATTTTCGAAGTTTTCCGAAAAACCAGAATTTTGCCGAAAAACTGCTACGGGATTTTGCATTCTTGTCCGAAAATTCGACCGATTCAATTCCTTTCTTCGAAACAAACACATACTCATACTCACCTAACATATAGCCTCGAATTAGAACCATTAAACATGATTTCTACGACGTCCGATTTCGATTCCGTAAAAAACTGCGATCTCGGAATTCAGCGTACAACAACAATTTCATACCTAGGAGACCATCCAACACACTTTCAATCTTTAAATATTTTAAAACCCAATTACTCCCAATCTCAACAGCAGATCTTGGAGCCTCCCATTGCGATACAACTTCGACCTTTGATACCACAACCACAATAGCTCTACCCGAGCTCACACGACCAAGGAAAACTCACATCCTTCAGCCCGTTGATCCATCAACTCATCAACTCTTGGAAGCGAACGCTTATCCTTGATAGTCACCTTGTTCACTTATCCATAGTTCACCCAAAGCTTCACAAAACCTTCCGTCTGTCTAACCAACAAAATTGGTGCACCTTATGGTAACACACTCAAACAAAAGAACCTCTCTTCCAGCAGGTCTTCAAGTTGACTCTTTAACTTTCTCAATCCCAATGCAAACACACAATATGGAGTCACCCATATCGGACTAGTTCCAAGAACGAAGTCAATGTGTAAGCTTTACTTCACATTCCGATAGTAAACCATTTACCTCCTCAGGAAAACTTCCGGACAATCACAATTAAGTGATAAACCCCAAATTTTCACTTTCCTTAACATTCAAAGTTTCCGTCAAAATACACACCTCAACACCGTCTTACGCCAACTCCTCAAAATAATCCCTTAAGCACTTAGCTTAACTCAAGACAATTCATTGCTCACACCACCTAAGCTTGCAAGACACGTCTATCCCATCCAACACAATCCCGTATACTATTAACAATAGATTGAGGGTGATCAGTTCCTCAATTTGTCAATAGACAGCCGAAAATCATGATGGGGTATAAACCATCTTTACCAAACTATAAGAGCGTAACACACTAAGCCACAACGCTGCAGCATTCCAGAGAAATACCAACTTCTCCCCCACTGGAATCATTTCACTTCTACCGACAAAGTTTAAATAACAACATGTACCGACAGTGTTTTTACACACATGTTGCATACCAGGGAACAACAACACTAGACAACATTGGCCGGACGGACCGACCTGCTATGATACCAATTGTAACACCCCACTTCCCAAATTAAATAAAATATAAACATTATAAATAAACATCAGAGTTTTCACAAAAACAGTGGGATATCACATCACCAATAGTTATCAAAAATACTTTATTCATTATTTTCAAAATAATACAGCGGAAATTATTATTCCAACATTCTCGGCCATCCGCCAGATTTACATAAAATCTTTATTATTATAATTCACCAAAATGTGATACGTCACAGGATTTTCAACAAGTTTAACATAAACAAATAAAACACCCATATCCCGTGTTACGTATCAGAGCATTCTAAGACTCGACTTGCACACCGCTATCCAAGCTATCTATGTACCTGGATTATCTGTACTTCCGAGGAAGCACAGACCACAACAACAACAAAGGGGTGAGAAAACATGATCAAAATATATCGGTAATTTAATACATGCAATAAAGGTAGTAAAACACACCAATATTCACCCCATCAACACCAATCATGAACCTACTGTTCAAACATCCACATAACATATAATAATGCAATATGCCATACAACACCATGCATGCGGTACCGACTCATTGGTTCATTCAATCGAACCCTGGACAGATCACTTACGCTCCTACTGAGATATGATCTATCCCCCGACAGATCACTTACGCTCCTACTGAGATATGATCTATCCCCGACAGATCACTTACGCTCCTACTGAGATATGATCTATCCCCGACAGATCACTTACGCTCCTACTGAGATATGATCTATCCCCACCATTCTCCACAAAGGAGTACGGATGAATCACATACACTCCTCCTGAGCAATGATTCATCCCACCAAACACCATGATATGTACGACAAACAAACTCAAGCACACTAAGTGCACACGATCCTCCTGATCACATCACCACACATTATATATATTACACCACCAATAAACACAAGCACACTAAGTGCACAACAATTAAACTCAAGTAAATAATCAATAAATCATTTCAATCGATCCATGGTTTAGTTACTATTTAATTAAACAATGACTCCCCAAAAATATTGGATATAAAAATATTTGGCAAATAACAATATTATTTATACCATGTTATAAATCTATTCAAGAGCTTTCCAACGCTTCGAACGGGGACTAAATCCAACTTACGAATCAAAAGTTATGGCCAAAATCGCCAAAACAGAAAATTCACCAATATACAACTTTGAGTCGAAGCAAACAACGCAGAATGCAGAAAATTCTGTGTTTTCCACCGTTGGAGGCCTTCCGGACCTCCGATTTCAATTCCGTAAAAAACTCGGGTTTCGGAATTCAAAATCCTACCATAATATGACAATTATAACAGCCAACAACATATTTTTAAAGATCATATCATCATATATCATATAACCATACTTTTCAACACCATGGAATTTAGGGGTTTCTATCCTAAATGTGATCCTACCCATCATACACTATCACACAATCATAATGATCATACGAAAACTCACCCTTACTGCTCGAAACTATTATCTTGCTCAAATTCAAGCCTATTTTTCCACTTCTATCTCTTGTCCTCTCGATACTACAATTCTTATACGCTACACTAGTCAATTGTTCCATAATTTCTCCTCTCAGAACCTATAATTATATCCATCACCAACTCTACGTAGTTACTCAGAACCCATATGGTCCTTAATTTCCTCTCGGAACCTATTTCATACTCATCGTTATTACTACGACAATTATACCGAATTTCACCAATCTCATAACAGCAAATACACCACTCTATCAGTATCAGCAACAATCATCACACTCTACTCTAATCAATTATTCCTTAAACTATATCTCAGAACCTATATCATGGTCATTACCCAAGTCATAGAGGTTACATAAAATCTCACCAATACTCATGGTCATTATCCAAACCACAGAGGTTACACAAAATCTCACCAATACTCATGGTCGTTATCCAAACCACAGAGGTTATACAGGAACTCACCAACATCGTAACAATGTACGAATTTCATCACCATCAACAACAACAACAACAGGCATAATGTCATAAATTCGTGTTCATCACTAATATTACAGGAATTACACAGAATCCCACAATCATCGTAAAATGTATGCACAAAACTCTTCAATCACAGTAACATTCATAAACACAGACATAATATAATATATAAATCATAATCATCAAATTCCTACGGGGTTAAGGAAATCCCCTCTATCCAATTTCATGCATTATACCAATCCCAATCAGTTTCTCCCCCCTTACCTGGATAATTGTTCTGATCGGTGACAAATTCCTCCAAGATTGGCCAATTCTGGCCTTTCCTCTTCTTCTCCGTTCTTCGCTCCTTTCTTCGCTCTTCTCTCAATTTTCTCTTCTCACGCTCTATCTATCGTGACTTCTCAAGTTACTTCCTTCCTATCCCTAATAACCCCTTCCACTTCTATTTTCTTTTAATTCTAATCCTAATAATAATAATAAAAATAATATTACTAATAATAATAATTATAATAATCATTATAATAATAATAATACACAGCAATATTAATAATATTATTTCACCAATAATAATAATATTAATAATAATATTAATAATACTCCACCAATAATATTAATAATAATAATAATAATAATAATAATATTCTCCCACTAATAGTTATAATAATAGTAATAATATTAATAATAATAATATTCTCCAATATTAATAATATTACTACAATTAATAATAATAATAATAATAATAATAATAATACCACCATATTACTACTATTTATTTTATTATTATATTCACACCAATTCACCACCAATAATCCTCCCATATCAAGGACACCCACCAATCATCATCAAACACACCCCACCAAAGGGCACATCAACATATAATAATTAAAATAGTAATAAAATGACTAAATAATTAAAATGGGTGTTACAACTTGTCTAAATTGTCGTGTTCTAGATAACTTTGGATCTGCTTCAACTTCCTTTCTCGTAAAGTCACACACAATGCCACAACAAGCTTTTCTTGTCCGCCTTCTTAAAATATACTTTTCAGGAATGACTTTAACATCATTCAATTCAAGCACTTTCAATGCATGTGAATAAAGTATGCCAAATGTCTCAAACTTTCCACAACTACAAGTAATAGAGGTCGAGGCACGGCCAAATGAAACTCTCCAAGATTTTTCAAGTTTGTCCTTAATAATGACATATTCACACAAAGAGTGAGACTTATTTCTCTCTAATATTGATAAAGCTAAAAATATCTTGAATTCATTTTGAAATAGCTCAAATAAACCATGTGTATATAATTTTCCAATTTGTATTAGTATTGGTGACAATTCACATATTAACCTTGGAAGCTTATGTGAGGATTCATACTCACAACTCCATTCATTTCCTCTCTTCTCCTCGACAAAATTTTCAAAATGCTTGAAATGTTGTATGATATCTATATTCAGTTTAATACAAGATCTGAAGTGAGCATTTAAACTTTCGCTAACTTGGGTACTCCGCATACCAAGTGTTAATGCTCCATTCATATAGCATGAAATACATTTTTTTAATAGCATAAACTGATTTGATCCAGTTATTATCATGAACATTATACTCGTTGATCAAGTCGATCCAAGCTGTTTCAAAATATTTTTCAATGTCATAATCATACATGCACTTTTTAAAATCTCTTAAAAAATAACTTCCTCCTTTCATCAAGTTTCCAAGGTGTTTAATCCCATTTTGTGACAAGTGCCAAGTGCATAAACCATGGTGAGTCTCAAGCATTACTTTAGCAAATGCTTTAGCCATTGCTTGATCTTGGTCAGTGAAGACAATCTTTGATTTTTTGTTGTTGTGTGCTTGTAAGAATGTATCGAACAACCACTTAAATGACTCAATTGTTTCATCATACAATAGTGCTGCACCAAAAATGATCAAACCCTTATAGTGGTTGAAACCAGAAAACAGAGCAAGTGGTCTATTTGCAAAGTTGGTACAATATGTGGTGTCAAATGACACAACATCATCAAAATATCCATAATCTAAAATCATATTTGCATCACACCAAAACACATTTGTGATTTGTTCTTCAATATCCATCTGATATGCATGAATGAAAGAAGGATTCTCCAATAACTGGCGTTGAAAATTTTGTGAAAGATAACTAGCCTCGCCGTATACCATACTTATTTTCCTTTTTGCATTTATGTAATTTTTTACATCCACTTATGTGAATCCAACATTAACTATATGCCTTGCACGTGACTCATAAGTTGAAACGTTGACTTTTGCCTCAATCCCGAATCATCAGCCAAATCAATCTCATAAACTTGCACTTCAGTTATTTTTCCATGTGATGCAAGCATGTGTGTTGTCTCTGGATGTTGTAAAGCATGATTGTGGTCCTCTACAAATTCATTAATGACAAACTTTTCATTATGACATCCAAGTGAAATTATTGTTTTGCAATCTATTCTAGTGTCGATTCTCTGATTGCTAATAAAGACATTTGTTTTCTTTTTCCTTTTTAATCCTTCCTTAGAACAAACAAACCTACATGATGATATAATACCATCTTTATTTTTGTTTGCACAACGCTTTCTAACTTCGAAGCCAACATGTGCACTATAAGCAAGCCAAAATTGATAAGCTTCGTCGTCTTTATTGTTAAATTCCATTCCAACTATTGACTTCCAATCAATATTTGAAGATGTCATCTTTGATCAAACTATCCAAGTAAAATAAAGGAACCTGATAAGTCAACAAAATATATTCTCAATTTCCATTACATGTTATTAGAAGAACAACTCTTTAAACAAATGTAGAATTCAAACTGTGTTAACCACATAACACATGAAATCACTTTTATTTCATTATAATTTTTTTACCAAAAAACTATATAATTCACAAACTTCATTTAATAAGAAAACATAATAAAGGATACTGTAATGTATTTAAAATGTTGAAATTTAATTAAAAAATTCATAATCTAAAAATCACAAACCCATAAATGTATTTCCCAAACCCATAATCTAATTTCTCTTTTAAATTCATAGTTCAAATCAAAGACTAAAGTTTTATTATTTTGTAAGAGAAAATTTTTTATGCATATAGAAGGAAAAAAACCACCACAAACTGAAGATTTAAGGTCGGTGGAAGATCGACAATGGTGATTATCCAATGGCAGCGCGACGACGGAGCATGATTCAAGTCCGACAAAGAGAAAAGAAGCCAAATGAAGACAACGACGAAGACAACGTTGCTATGTTTTTATTTCAAATGTGAAATGTTTCTACTGATACATTGCAAAAGTTTTTGAGTAAGAAATAATATTATATATAATATAATATGTACTTTTGGATTAATCTAATGAACAAGATTAAGGGAAAGGCATGGTGCCTTTCCCGCCTTAAAGTCATGTAAACCAAATCCCCAAAATATAAGGTATGATAAAATCCATATTGTTCTTAATCGAGATCCAGTAGAAATTGAAATAGCATCTCGTACTCTTTTTTAAAAATTTAAATTTAGATCTACCAAAAAAATAAAAAGAATTTGCAAAAATGAAACATCTAAGTTTAGATCGAGATGAATAGCCTATAGCTAATGATTTGCTAAGAGTTCAATGAAAAACTCCTAAAAGCATATATGATATATGATGGAGTAATTATATGTTGAAAGATTAAAAAATATAGTGGAAAGGGAAAGAGTGAAAACAAATGAAAGATTAGATTAAATGCGGTTGTCATTAATGAGATCATGTATGATCATTTGATCTCATGGTCAGATTTAATGGTACATACGGAAAGACTTAAATGGTTATTTCCCTTAAATGCCGTCCATTACCATATCATTAAAATTAATTTTTTTTAATCATAATTATCAACTATCGTTTACATGTCCGTTTATCCGCTTTCTCTAATACTGACGCACAAACAACTTATATTATATTATATTTTTATTTAATTTTAATTTAATTTTAAATTATTCATAAAATAATTAAAGATAATGAAATAAAAAATAATAAACGGTTTATAACGTTGCCATTATAGAAAACAAAAGTTGAAAGTTAAGATATAAAATATAAATTGAAAAAGCTATATTTGAAAGAAAAAAAAAAGACTACATCAAAATATATGTTTCCTCTAATAGAAAGACTAAAAAAATTCTAAAAAGCCTAAACTTGAAATTAATTTTTAAAATGGATATATTAAAAGTTAAAAAACATGGAGATTAAAAATGCACTTTTAAGTATTTTAAAATAAAAATTGAGTGTGCATCTAAAGCAGTGTTTGTTCACTCATAACTTTCAATTTACCCGTTCAAAGCTTCAACTGCAACAAGTGCAACTTTTTCAGAAAATCTCTAATGGTGAAAGCAATATCTCTAACTCACCACCTCTCCTTCCTCTTCCCTCACACCTATTCCCGATTCACAACTTCTTCTAGACTCTTCCATCAACTTTCCATCACAAAATCACCATTCCCACTCCGTTTCCTCTCCACAACCCCAACCCCCTATCCTCTCCAATACGAACTAATCATAAACCGCCCCGACCTCCCCAAACCCAACCGCCACCCTCGAACCGCCAAACCCCCCAACTCACCCGAACCAAACCAACCCGACTCGCTCCATGACTGGGCCCACGATAAACTATCCACTGAACCCGGTTCGTCTGAACTCGATAAAGCCAAGAGGAAATACTACAATAAACGGAGGAAGAGAATGTATGGGTCCGATTCCGATGAAGATAATCGGAGAAATGAGGAACAGTTTGTGGAATTGAAACGTGAAGTGGTGGAACTGAGAAGTTTGCATAGGAGAGAAGAGGAATTGTATTTTTATGATGCTTTTGCTTATCCTTGGGAGAAAGATAAACATTACAGAATGGTTTATCAATTGGAGAAAAAGTTTTTTCCTCATCAGTGTTTGGATAAAGCCTTTCTTCAACCAGGTCAATCAAATTCAAATTCAAATTCAGTTTCAAATTTGAATACGAATATGAATGCGAATGTTAGGGTTAGAAACAAGAGAGTTGGTTGTTTTGCTGGGGAGAATGAAGGTGACAAGGTTGGTGATGGTGATAACAAGTTGGTGTTTTTTGAGGAGAATGTGAAAGGGGAACAAGAAAGAGAAAAGGGTGAGAATAAAGATCATAGTGAGAAGAAGGTTGAGGAGTTTTTTAAGGGTTTGAAGAAAGATGTTGAAGTTGTGGAGCCGTTTTTTTCTTCAAGGAGGACTGGTCTTCCTCCTGTTTGGGATTCTCCACATGGGACTGTGCTTTTGATTAACAAACCTAAAGGTGAGAGACTGAGTTAATTCATTATTCACGTTTCTTAAGGCTGAAGTGGATTAACCACGGTTGTCAAATAGTAGGTATAGCGTAGGAGAATTTAAACAAATTGCTTTTGTTCTGTAATACATTGTTTAGTATCTCCTGCGAGAATTGTTTAACCGTGGCTACAACGTAGAAAAATTTAAACAAATCGCTATTGTTGCTTAATAGGCTATTTAGTACAAAGCAATATTTAATTGCAGCTATAGCGGTGCTAATGGGCTAGCATGCCATTGTTATTGTTCTGTAATGCACTGTTTAGTTTAGTACATATCACTGTTTAATAGTAGCTATAGCGGTGCTAATGGGCTAGCATTATAGTGTAGGAGAATTCAAACCAACAACTATTTTCTGCAATCTGCAATTGATGACAATGCTATCACACTGTTGCAGACTTGGACCGTTCAGATGGTTCATGTTCCAACATTATGTCTTGGACTCATTTGTGAAGTTGGAATATAAGCCGTCTGAAGGCTGAGATTGCGGAGTCATCCTGATGGTTGGAATTCTCACTTTGTTTCATTTTGCTTTCTAGTTGATTTACTTTTGGGCAATTACAAAACCTAGTGGTTATTTTCTGAACTTGAAACAGTTTTTCTTAGAGGCAAAAAATAAATATCATTGTTCGTTAGTTCACTATTCATGATGACTGAATTTGCTCCACATTAGATGATATGACATTATTGCCATATGCACATACTGCAGCACTTAGTTTGATTGAAATCTTTGTTTATTTAGTGAATCTTGTTGCAATCCTTTTACTCAATTTTTCACTATGCAACAGTACGATCTTAAGTATGATTATTTTGAAATACTTGAAAGTGTTTTTTTTTGGGATGTGTCGATGAAAGTACAAATAAAATGTGAGTTTGTGGTAGGTTGGACTTCATTCACAGTTTGTGGAAAGCTGCGTCGCCTTGTTAAAGTGAAAAAGGTTTTTTCTTTCCCACAGTATACATGTATTTATGTTCACTTTTTTTGTAGACTTACAGTATTAATTATTTACAGGTTGGCCATGCTGGAACTCTTGATCCAATGGCAACTGGTTTATTGATTGTTTGTGTTGGCAAATCAACAAAACTGGTAGATAGGTGATTACGATAAATAGAGTTTTGTTTTCATTTATTTGAGTATCAAGTATTGGAGCGTCTTTCACAATAATACAGTTTTTGTTTAGTCAAAATGTTTGATCTGGATAGTTTTTCTGAATCATTGTTTTTTTTTTCTGCTTCAGATATCAAGGGATGATTAAGGGTTATAGTGGGGTCTTCCGCTTAGGGGAGGCTACTTCAACATGGGATGCTGATTCACCAGTGAGTTAATCTGTTTTACTTATGAGCAAATTTATGAAGATGTAAATAAATAGTAAATCAATTGAAAAAATTTAAAATGGGAAGTATTTTTTTTCCCATCAAATTGATCACTAATTCACATACAGGTGATCATGAAAATCAATTCATCTTCAGTTCTCAACCTTTTTGGAAAAAAATTGGGAATACAAACATGTCCTTCAAAATCCTATAATTGTTATCCAGGTGTTGAATACTGTCAAATTTAGAGGCTGCATGCTATTTCCCCAAGAAGCACAGACACATATACAAACACGGGATACGACACTGACACACCCTCACCAGTAATAGTTTGAGAAAGTGAAATATTTTAACGTAACTACATATGTCAGAAGTTAAGTTAAGTTTAGGTGCACGATTGGGAGGAGAAAGCTATTTCCTTTTATAAAGTTAAGTTTTGTCAAAGATCATTTATTATCAATGCATTGAAGGGACCAATCAATAATGAAATCTTGAAAAATCACTCAACCCTATAACCTCTAAGAACCGTTCAGTTCAAAAGGTTTAGCTATGCTTATCAGGCGAGGGATAAATTAATGACTTCCAGTGTTATCAAATATCCGCATTTGCGGCGCTATGGCGGATATACGTGGCGGTTTTTAGACTCGCCGCAACGGTAAATATCGTTCGATATTGCGGGTTTTTCCGCTTTAATCCGTTATAATGGCGCCACAAAGCGTCTGGTATGGCGGGATTTTGGCTCTCCGCCATGGACAACACTGATGACTTTTAGATCCTCTAGAGTTTTTAACTTGAAAGTCTGTTCTAATAAGAATGGAGATAGTATTTAACAAATATCCAACTCTAGAATCTTTGCATTAAGGAGGCTGTCAGACATTTAAATAAATGTTTGATCAAAGTAATGTCTATATCTCTGTCTTAAACCACAACTTTGAACAGACATACAACTGTATTCTGTAATCTATCTGGTGCTTGAACCTTGAATAATTTGAATATAATGAAAATGGTGTAATAAGAGCAGTTTGAGTCATTATACGCAAGTATTATTGGAATGAAGAATATCAATATCAAGCTTGGATTAATGCATCCAAATCATTGTATTGCGACTCATGATAGCCATAACTAGGAATTACAATTGATATGGCAGTTTGTGTTTTGATTTTAAGTTTTTAACTACATACAATTTTTTGACTCATAGGCCAGCTTAATATGTAGGTCATTCAGCGTGAGCCATGGGAACACATCAAAGACGAGGACATAAAGAAAAGTGCCTTGTCCTTTTGTGGGGAGATTTGGCAAGTTCCTCCTATGTTCTCTGCTATTAAAGTAAGAACAGTTACCATTCTTGAACCACTTACTTTTCATAATTTCTTTAAATTTTTGACGTTGGATGAGGTCTGAACTAATTTAAATTTAAGTTATTAAATATGTCATGTCAGTAATGGGTTTTCAACTGACAAGCTGTTATTTTATGCATCAATATGATCAGCATTTAGCTTCGTTTCTAAAGCAGTTCAGCATTGTGAAATTGTAACATGACTTTTGTCTATCATTTATTAAGGCTGCATTTATGATGGAAGCGATTTCGTGTTAGATCCATATAGTTAACCTCATCCACTGCGAAAAATGCTTCTTGTAGTACCTTGTCTAGTTCCTTACAAGTATGACTGCTTTGTTATAGGTTGGAGGTGAAAAGATGTATGAGAAAGCAAGGAGAGGAGAAAGCATTGAACTTTCGCCTAGACGAATTTCAATTTTCCAATTTGACATAGAGCGTAGCTTGGACGACAGGTAACTTGGGAGCCTCCATTTTTTATTCCCTTTTTGCTTTTGAATAATGATTTAGGTTGACCATTGATAGAATTTGAAGTCAACACATGTAAAGAGCTAACTCAATGAACTTAATTGACCATCAAGCCCTTTGCTAGTAATAATGTAATCCATTAAACAGAACCAAAGTTATCTTGAGCATTCAAGAAATCCAATTTGAGTACAAATCTTTAGCATTTGACTCTTCCAAGGCAAGTTATTCACTTTAGAGAGTAAAATAAGTAATCTCAATTCAACCATTGATTAGAAAATCAGCGGTTGATATTTTAACACATTCATGATTTGTTATACATGTCCATAACATCAATTGTTGATGACTTGATTCATTCATCAACTATTGGACCTACTTACTTTACTTTCTAAAGTGAAAGGTAACTTGAGTTAAATCCAAATCTTCAACCCTTTTCCCATTTCATCTCCTATGTAACATAATTGGTCAGAAAAGAATGGTATTTTCTGTCTAATTTCCCGGGAGATATCTATTCAATTGTATTTTCTAGTCTATACTTGCAATGGATCTAGCATAGAATTCTGTTCTTGCAATGAACAAGAAACCAAGTTTGATTTCTCTGAGATACCAGCCTAACAGCTTTGCACCTCCGATCGGTTATGTGTTTTAGTAATCATATTATCAATCAGTGTTCTCACAAGAGGAGCTTTTTCCTCATAAAAATATTTACAAAATAATCTGTTTAGGTTTTGTAGTTAATTTGTTCGTTTTGGCCCTGATATACTTTTATACTTTTTTCAGACAAAATTTGATTTTTAGAGTGACTTGCTCTAAAGGGACATATATTCGGTCACTCTGTGCCGATTTTGGGAAGGCTCTTGGCAGGTATTAGTTTCTGCGAGAAACCTTACATAACATGTAGAAATTGAGTCTCACACTATAATTCTTATCCTCATTTCTTTGTTGTTTGATTTAACCTCTATAATTAGTCTTATGATCTGATGCTATCCCACTAATGTTCAGTTTTATACCTAAGCGATTAAAGTTCTGTTGCTAATATATTTGCTTTGATATTTGTAGCTGTGCCCATTTAACGGCTCTCCGAAGAGATTCAATTGGTAAGCAGTCTTACTCATTGACATTCAATTCAATTCAAAAGTGATTGTCTCTATGGTTCATGTGTAGTGTAGCTAGCTATAGTAACTGTAATGAAATCTTCTTCAGGACAATATTTAGCTGATGATGCATGGGAGTTTCAAGAGCTGGAAGAGTCTATCACCAAAACTTATCTTTAACTTCTCTGTTTCTCCACCCTGTAACATGCAGTTTTCTTTTTTGGTAAACATGTTTATGTACCAATTCTATTATGGCCCTTTCTGAAATTTTTTAACTTTCAGAATTCATTTTTGAGTTGGTATGTAAAATTGAGGGAAAGGGTCTGTAAAATCATTCATTCATTATTTATATACTTTCAATGTCCCTTAACTTACATCTTTGGTTGTTGTCACTATAAAATACTTTCAATTTATCCTGTTATTGGAGGAAGGGAACTTGATGAAGGGAAATATTATTCTCAATGTGCAACTTGATAATGTATTTTACTAGAAATATGATGTGTTTTCTCTTTCTTCCAACGGGCATTTGACAGTTTTTCTGATTGTGTTTCCTTACTAAATTTGTAAACATAATTTATAAATCATTTCGTAGAAATAAACAGCAAACAATCGGACAACAAGTTACTAATCCTTATTCTTTTTGAGTGACAATTATTTTTCTTAAAAATTACATATATAAACTTACAAGACACGTTGATATTATGTATGACTCTTTGAAAACTCTCTAAAAGATTCATTGTCTTTAGGGTTAAGAAATTAAAATTGTCAAATATAAATAGTATAAAATCATGTTGATTGTCAAAATATATTTTGGAATTGACATAATTAGTTTCTGAGTCTTTTAAGTTTGAGGGAAGTTTTGCTTTAACCTCTGAACTAAAAAAAGTTACAAAATAATCCTTTAACTTAAGTTCCATTGATCCATTTGATCATTTTCGCTAGTTTCTATAAAAAAATGTTATCATTGTGTGAGCTGACATGCCGAGTAAGCAAATGTTTAATTGTACATTAGCACATGGTTATACTACGTTACATAGGGTTCCATCATCTTCCATTTATTGTGTCCATCATCTTTCATATTTCCTCTTCTTCTATTTTCTTCTTCAAATTAGGATTAAATCACCATCTTATTTTTTCCTTCTTCCATCTTCATTTTCTTCTTTAAATTAGGGTTCAATGTCAAAGATTGCAAGCAATGCTTCAACTTCAAATACCAAAGCTATGGTATATCTGGATCTGTGATTCGTAGAAACAAGAGAATGAAGTGTTTTTGGCAAGATGAAAGTGTTATTAGAATAGTCAATGATGTGAACAATGTCAACAAGGGAAGAAAATTCTGGGGTTGTAGAAATTACAGAAATCACAATGAAAAGGGTTGTAATTTTTTCAAGTGGTTAGGTGATGAGTTTGTTGATAAAAGATATTTGAAGCTTGAAAGACAAAAGAAAAAAATTAACAAATTGAAGAATGAAGTTATTTACACTAAATGATGTCTGAAAATGTCCATTGTGGTTGAGATGTTGAGCTTAGGGTTGAACCTTGTTTTTGTAACAATGTATTTCAATTATAATTAGGGTAGCTCAATGTTATGTTTTCACATTTTCAATGTTTTGTTAAGTTTGCTTAATGAATAATATATTGTTAAGTTGGTTTAAAGATTAACGTATGTGTCTATTTCAACATAATTATCTATGCTACATAACTGGTACAATTTTGTGATATATAACTAGTACAAATTTGTCTCAAAATTTAACCTATTAAAAATGTAGCTCAAGGCCCAATTGAGATGAATAAAAATAGAAAATAAGCCAATTTGCAACAAATTATAAAATTAAGGGACTTTATGGAGATCATACAATAATATAACTTGGTATTATAAGCCATTTCAACTTTCATTAACAAATCTGAAGTTTGATACGTAATTGGTTCAATAAGAAAAGGCCATTATAAGGCATGAATATGACATTCCAAAATGTGGTACAACTACAAAACATATGGACCATTGTAAATTAGCCAAAATGTGCCTTACATAATGACATTCTAAAATGTGCCTTACAAAAACAAAACACATAGGTCATTAAAAGGCATTACAAAATCTGAGCAGGCATCATAATAATGATTAAGGTTGACTTGAAATAGGCTTGCCACCCATATGAAGTTTTTTTTTTTTTTTATAGTTTTGGGTGGTGGTTGACTTGTAACAATATGTGGTGGTGACTGACTTGTATTAACCGGTGGTGGTGGCTAAATTGTAATAATTGGTGGTGGTAGATGACTTATAACAACTAGTGGTGGTGGCTGAGTTGTTACTTCTTGTACCTGACTTGAAACTACTGTTGGTGGTTATCGCAATTGCATAAAACAACCGGCGGAAAACAAATTCGTCACCGGACGTTATTTATCCCGACGGGAGAAAGAAAACGATCGAAGAAACCTCAAAAAGGGAAAGGATCATGGTCTCGCAACCAAATCCTGGGTTCGGGAGTCGATTACGTGAGAGAAAGGTGTTAGTATCCCTCGCGTCCGTTGTACTCAATGTGATCCACTCTTGTTGTTCTAATCAAAGAGAGTGTATATCTAAATCCTACTTGCTAAATGGAAACGAAAAAGGGGAAAACAAAAGGAGACTCGATAGGATTCCGCCGTCCTAGGTCTGCATATTCCCTCGTGCAATGGAAAATTCAGAGTCAACGTAGTTCGGAGGACTACGGTGATGAGGGAAGGGTGCTCACCAAGACTTCGCTGTCTTGTGCCTACGTATCCTCATTCAGACGAGAATGAAGAAATCAAAGCATTCGTAGTTCGACCTACCACATGTGGCTTAGTGTTTTTTTATGAGTGATGCTAAATTCGCATTCCAACAGTTAGGGTCGATGTCTGTTTGCGGTAGAACGGAAGTAACATGTCCTTTATGAAAAGGTTTGAAAGAAAACCCCGAAGGACAAAATGATTTGAAGTTTGTTTAAGAGTTTTAAAAGAAGTGAATTGACTTTGTTTGAGATGCGTATTACACTAAAGTCTATGACATAGGATCGAATACTTCCTAAGATCGACCCAAGACGGAATGTATACAAAGCACTCTAGATAAGGTAAGGAGAGGCTCCCACTTATCACTTCCCATGTAATTAAATCTCGTGGTATACAATACTCATTGTATTTGTTAAGTGTCTTATTTTATTTGAGAGATAGAAGAGAGACTCAAAGGGTAAAGAAAAATCTAAGAGAACTCACCTAGATATTGTCATGCAAAGTGGTCCTATAGTTGAGGATGAGAAAGGGAAGCCTACCTAAGGTTATCATACAAGAAATGAACCTAAGGTTAAGGCTAAAAATGGAGCTAACCTAATGGTTTCATGCAAAGGATTAAAAGCCTAATGTCTATCATACTCCAAGCTTAATCAAAAATTGAGTTAGACTACGAGCCTTAAGGAAACATGCGAGCAAAACACAAGTAAACATTAAACAACTCGATCTCAAACAACACCAAGTATTCAAATCTTAAAGGAAGAGAAAAGATATGAAGAGAAGAAATATCAAGGTATTAAGTAATCAACTCAAACATCATACTAATCAAGAAGATTCAACAATCAATTCTTAGTTGACATACATCAATGCTAAAGTCAAAGCATGCTTATCAAATGAATCAAAGCATCAGATATGGATAAGGAAAACCACTTATGCACTCATTACAATTATTATAAGTCATACTCAAAGGATTCACACATTAAAGTCAAGAAGATAGACAATGACAATCATAAAAGTGCACAAGCAAACATGTCAAAACCATATCAAACATGATTGATCATCATAAAAAGCCAACATGGGTCATGCAAGATAAGAATCAAAGAAGGTCATAACCTACACCACATCATGATCAACTCATTTCAAAGTTGAGTAAATAGGGACAAAAGCATCCGACATGAATCATATAAGTGGCTAAGCTTTTGTTAACAATTATCTCATGAAAATAAACCAACAATGATTCAAATAATGAAATTAGGGTATGAATCCAATAAGAGGCTGTAGCATAACCATGAACATCAATTCAAAATAAAGCTTAAAATATATAGAAAGGAACACCAAGCATCATGTTCAAAACATGCATACACAACTAGGTATTCAATAACCACCATCAACTTCAAAAGAAAGCAAGTATCTATGTGAAGTACAAGAAGTAAATGATCATGCAATGGACATCAAAAAATGAGGTTCATAAGCTCACACAAGTCAATTAATTCATACAAGAGTCATGGATATCAAGGGATCACACAAGAGAACAAACTCAAGAGATTAGATCAACATGTAAACAAACATCATGTTCAACACATCATCAAATTGAATCATCAATAAAAAATAGTTAAATGGCCAAAAATGGAACTAGCGCTCTAACTCATAGAAAGTCAACCAAGATCAAGTATGAAAGAGGTCCCAAAAATAATTGCATAAATGCATCACCAAACCAATCCAAAAGTTCAAGATACACCACCAATCGAGCATATATCGAGGACCAATTAAAATCAAATAAGAAACAATAAAAAATTCATCATCAAGGAACCAAAGCAACCCTAAAACATCCATCATTTAGGTATCAAAGCATGAGCAAAAAATTAGATCAAAGAGGCAAGCACAAAGCATCAAGAACACAAACTCTAGTTTAAGACTAAATATGTAAAAGCACTCACAATTAATTCAAAATAAAATAGAAAAATTAATTGAAAAATAAAATAAGAATCGTGACAAATTTCTAAAGATGTTGAATGATCAGGAACATATTTTTGTAGATTTTTAAAATGGTTTTATCAATTAAAATAAAAAAAGAAAATAGAATAAAAATAAAAAAAAAACACCAAAGGAACAAGGAGGGGGTGCAGTAGCAATATTCCAAAGAACATGATTCAGGTTGATGCGTGCATTGGGCTAAAATATGGAGGTGTGAGTATAAAATATGCTAAGCCCATGATTGTTTTAAAAACAAACTCAGAAATAAAACAAAATAAAGTGCCATGCGTGTTCATTAAATGAGGTGGATTACACCTTAGCGCCATGTGGACAAGTCAAAGAGTCAGCTACGCCAACTCAGCTTTCTCTGACCAGACACTGGAGCTAGGGCTCCAGTTGTCTTTTCTGGCGCGACCACCAGAGCTGGTCCAAATCCTGATCAAATATTGCAAAGTCTTACA